GGCGTGGAAGGCAAGGATGAGCGAGTCAAACTGCATGCAAGCGATGCGGCTCGAAGCCGAGTTGGGCCCTTCCCTTTCCGCCATCTTTGTGCTCTCCGCACCCAGTGCCAAAATGCGAGTATGCAGCATTTGCCCTTGTTTCTGGATCCCCCTGGCGATCTCGTCCGAGTCCCGCTTGACCGAGGAGAGGTGACGGACAGTGGTGCGAAAGCGCTCGTTGTTCTTCTTTAGGCGCTCCACCTCCAAGAGGAGCAAGGAAATCTCCTTGCGGATGGACTCGGCTTCCTTCAGGATCCTCTCAATGTCCAAGGAGTTCTCAAAGACGATCGCATATTGATCTTTGGGCAGCTTCGTATTCCATGTGCTCCTCATCCTCCCAGGCCTCGCTGACGTTGCGCAGTGTCTCAAGCATGTCCCGCATTCTGCCTCTGGAATAGAGAAGACGGTGTTATTATTCTCAATTCCGGTGTGTGATACGGTGAAACACAGTGACCAGGGTCAGCAAAGCCTTCGTAGATCGCTAAAATCAAATATTTGTTCCATCCATCCATTTTCCAATCCACTTATTCCCACATGGGTCGTGGGGGCTTCTGGAGCATATCCCAGCCATCTTCGGGCAGTCGGTGGGGGACACCCTGAACCGCTTGCCAGCCAATCGCAGGGCACACAGAGACGAACAACCATCTGCGCTCACACTCACACCGAGGGACAATTTTGAGTATTCAATCAGCCTGCCATGCATGTTTTTGGAATGTGGGAGGAAACCGGAGTACCCGGCGAAAACCCACGTAGGCCCGGGGAGAAGATGCAAACTCCACACAAGGAGCCCGGAGCTGGAATTGAACAATTTCAGTTTCACTTGGCTGCAGTGCCTCCAGTACTGTTCGTATGTTGAATTTTTATATAGATATTTTTGGTCCAATCAGATTTTAGTTCTGTGTTGCCATGTCAATGTAATCTGCCCCAAAACAGTTGCGCCGGTCGATGTAGCTGAAACTGTTTTGACTCATCCAAGTGGTAGTCGGCTGATTTTTTTATTTTATTTTTTTTTTCGGAATAAAACTTGTCGGACTGTTTTATGATTTTATTTTTATTTTTTTTGGTAGGGTTACGTTTTCTTTCCTGTGATAGTACTGATAGCCATGCTAATTTTGGTCATTGTATGTAATAGTAGCCAATTTATATCTTGTACCTTGCAGCGGAAATTGCGGCATCATTTTGATGGCTTGTTGTTGGACCCAAGGTACCAGCGGTCAATACACTTTTCAATATCCCACCCCCACTTTGATCCAACGGCATCCATCCAAACTAAACATTGGAGACTATTCATTCGATACGTGTGGAGAAATTAGATAATAACATCACAGTGACAACACAAACATCAGGCCAAGCTATTATCAAAAATAAAAGAGGAGAAGAAAGACTCACCAGAATGTGGAAAGTAACGCTCCCAAAAAGTTTCTCCCCGAATTGATCATTCAACAGGTGTACTGCACTAATTAGTTGGATTGGTTTTATCATCGACAAGCCGCAGCGATTTTAGCTTACCCTTTTTCTGATGTCCTCACTCGAGATCCAAAATCCGCTGACCCCTGACAGCGCACCTGCCTCCGATGGATTAAATCCAAACGACTTGAGAGAACATGATGAGAACTCCGTTGAAGGAAAGTTGACTATCTGACGTACGGCGCATGCAGAAGCCACATCCCTTTCGAGGCCCTCCCTTAGTACTAGTTCTTCCTGGAAGGTTTCTTAGTTTCTTTGCAATGGTATGTTACATTGAAGGAAGTTCAAGACCGGGTGGACCTGTTCATCAAAACCCATTGGTGTGAAGACATATAAAAACGAAGACAATTGGAACAAACTAATAACATGAGGACAGTAAATACAATAAAACACGTGCTGAGCCAAAAGCCAAAGAGTAAAAATAGATATAGAGTTTATAGACGAGTTGGACATAGAAGGATCTTGCCGATCTTGCCTAACTCTTAGCGGTACCTCCCGAAGCATCCGGTCCACTGACGTGAGGCACCAGGTAGGTGCGCAGGGGTGAGAGGTAAGATGGGTTGAGACCATTTTACGATATCAAAACAATCTTAAAATGAACTCTAAAGTCAACAGGGAACCTGTGAAGGAAGGCCAGAATTGGAGTTCTTTCGAGCTCCATTTAGGAGGCGAGTAGCAGCGTTTTGGACCACCTGGAGATGCTTGAAGGAGGACTGGTTGACTCCAAAATAAAGTGCATGACAGTAATCCAGCCAAAATGTAACGGAGACATGGATCACCATTTGTGAGTGCTGTTGTAAAAGGAAATATTTTGCTTTCTCCAGTTGCCCAAGAAAAACAAAAAACAAAGATGGATTAACTCTATTTACCTGGATTTCGCTCTGCGTTACATTCAAATTATGATGTCACAATAAAAACTTTTATTTCCTGTTCAATTGTAAGGCTGTAACCCAGTGCTATCCGCAATCCCAACAAACTCGGTTAGGTTGCTGTTTATCTGCGATTGGTGGGTGACCAATCTACAGTGATCGATGAATTTTACTCTCTCATTCAGAATGGTTCAACTCCTGTTACGATACCAGTGCCATAGTGACTAGAATAATGTCCAATGGATATTCAGACTGTGAAAATATCCAGAAATTGTGTTTCTCAATTTTTTTACCCCTCTCAAATCTCACAAAGGTGGCCAATGAATGGCTCATATAAAGCATCACTGTATATGAATAGTTTTCATTGTTCCACTTTATTGTCTGCAACAGGGTAGACATGGGCAACATTGCAAAAAGGGATTTCTTTTCTTGTACTTTATCGCTGTTGTGATCGCCACATTGACTTTCTGAATATAGTGTTGAGTGTTTGACACATTGGCTTCGATATTATCCAGCATGGAGCA